GTACCTCTAGGGCGTAACCCCATTGGATGGCTGCTAACCAGCGCAACCTGGTTGCGGGACCGCGGGGTAAGAGTTTAAGGGGAGTTACCCGCCCCAGGGAAATTAATCTGTGGGATAGTGAAGGTTGAGATTTTAGGAGGTCCTGATTGAGTGCTTATCAGGAGAAACCCTATTGTTGCGTAACCAACGAGGGTACTGCCGTTAAATAACAATGCGGTGGGCCGTAGTCCTGGTCTGATCAACGAGGCTATGGTGGGCCAAGATGGAGACCTGGCCTTTCTGTACTAGACAGCAGAAAGAGCGGAGTGAATATTAAGTTTACGCATATACTTATATGAATTTGATTGCGATAGATTTTGAGAAGGAAGGCGAGAGTGCCTTCAAAGTTCTCGGTTAAGGCCCGCGTCCCTAGTTTTTGCCAGGACTAGGGACACCCAACGAGAAGCCGAAGGTTGTCTAGGACCGGGGAGAGGACGATTGGGAAGGTCTTTGGAACTTATGTTGTCAGCGTCCTAATTTCTGGGTAGTGAGAGACCTGGGTTCGAAACCTGGCAGCATATAGTTGGGGAGGCATGGTTGGATGGAGGCCTCTACCCTGTGTTTGTCGGCTAATCGGATTGGCTCACTTCTTTTATCAGCATCTAGAGTGTGAATGGATTTATAGCTTTCAGATTTGGTGAAGCGACGGGGACGTCACTTAATATGGTCCGGTAAGCTGTCGGTGCGAATACCCTTACAAGGGTATCCGCCCTGGTTTTTGCAAGTGACAGAAAATAGTTTTGGTTTAGAATTTAAGTATACCCCGCTAAGCACGGTTGCGTCAGTAATTGCTTTGACTGGGTGGTTGACCGCAATAGCGAGTGCGTGGGCGCGCAGGTTTAAGGCGCGCGTGATTCTTTTTCTGTTATTTAATCTTAAAGCCGGCCCGGATCTCGGTCGTTTCGTTTGGTGATATTATTATTTTTTATGAAGCAAGGATTAAGGATATTTTCTTTTTGATTAGTAGGTCAAGCGCGTGTGCGGAGAAACGACCCCGACGACGACATCGGCAATAACGGCGCAATTTCGTGCGGTAAGCGCGGTGTCGTAGGATGGCGCGCGGGGTAGTTATGGCATGGTATAAGCAAACCGGCGCGGGCAAATGGGAGTCGCGCAGCTGTTTGGTTGGCCCAAAAGCGTCGCGCCGCACTGCCTATATGGTATTCTGCGGGATTCAGCCCCAGGCTTGGGCTTAGCCCTTAAGGTTACGGCATCGGACTATTATTACGGAGGTTCGGGGATCGAGGCCGGCGAGCGTCGGCCCGAAAGCAGCAAAGCGGCGCGGAGAAGACCGAGGGGTTGAGGGCCCGACGGGGCTTTCCCCCTTGGATTTTTGCTGGTGAGAGCAGCGGCGGGCCTGCCCCTCGGGACTGGTGAGGTATCAGCAGCCCCGCTGATCCT